CCAACCTAAACGATTCCATGATTCTATGATTCCAAGGCTAGCAGCTGCAGTATAGGCTATTCTAGGGCAGAGCTGGTTTATGTATGCTGTCTAAGAGTTGCATCCTCTATATCTGCATGAAAATCTCAAGCTCTCTGCCTTTGGTTTTGGAATCTACTGCATAAGAAAAGGAATGAAGCACCATATGTGTGCAGTGCAGACGGATCTTTAAATTAAAGAAATGGAGATTGAGTGTATAACTAGTAATTAACTACTCAGGGTTTGGAGAGGAAGGTACCAAAGTTATAGGTGTTATTAAGTAATGAGATAGCTGAGACCGTAGTTCCAATTAGGTTAAGTAATATAGTAGGGAAACAAGGTCCTTCATCACTCAGTGCTAGTACAGAACAAAGTAGTGCTATAACTTCATGAGATTCCTTTTCATCACTTCCATATATTGAGTGATAAGGCTGTCTATCATTGAGGAGTAAGGACTGAATCAGCACTTCATCAGCTCTTTGTTGCACCAAGCATAGCTCAACTTTGCTCTTTGCCTCATTCAAAGACCTGTGCAAAATTCATTACTGGTTGCAGAGTGCTTTGTGACCCTATGCAAGAGAATGCCCTGTGTCCACCTGAAAAATGGTTGGAGTTTTCCTTAACTGTGCAGTACAAATGACAACTTCAACTTTTTACAGAATAGCCTATTTTTGTCTCAGCCCAGATGAGTAACGTTTTCAGGTAGAATTTAAATTGTATAGAGCAGCAGGAAAGAAAAAAGTACATAATTTGCCAGATGTTTGGAAATGAAAACTAAGCATACTGGGAGGGTATTGGTTTCCCAGTTTTGTTCAACACTCCTTGGGAATTTCAGGATCTTAGTGCGTCTCATTCCAGCTTCCATTCACAGGAATACAGATAATATACCTTCTGACAGAAAGCTCATTATCTGCCAAACATGAAAACTCCAGGGTGTATCCCAAATGAAAGGCAGACTTCATTTAACTTTTCCTCTGATTTTATTGCTTAGGAAGGTAAATTGAGAAGAATGGATAGTAATTTTGAATTTTCTCTGCTACTGGCAGTTCAGAGTGACACCTTATTTCATTTATGCTATTACCTTCTTTAGTTGTTTTCTGAGTGAGCAGGAGTAGTTCTGTTGTATAAGACAGACTGACCCTAGGTATAATTAATCCATGGTGAAAGGCTGAAACATCTGCCAATGAAAATGCAGTAAATTTTCATCTGAGCTAAGTCTAACTGATAAGCGTTTTCCTGAATACCGGTTTTTACTTGCTAGGAAAATCACCAGTTGGAGCACTGGTGCAAATAAGAAAGAAGTTATGGACTATTGTGCTGTTTCCGATGATATTCTGGTATGTTGAAGGTAAGTCTTAGAAAAACAGATCCATTCACTACACAAAGCATATCCTGGCAAAGAAGGAAGAGCTATGTAACATTACGAGCAGGATCTCACCAGCTAACTGTTTTATTCTCCAGTCAGAAATATGATGAATCACATTTGTAAGAAGCTCAACAGATAGAATTAATTTCGTAGATCACTAATGCCTTTTAATTAACCAAACTGTAATTGACATTTGGGAACTATAAAGGGGATCACTGCATGAGTAAACTGCACCTGGCTATGTTTAAATATAAAATGACTGAGTCAGAGATCCATGTATGTATGTATGTATGTATTATTACATTATTATTAGCATCTCTCTAGCAGTCTAAGGATACACAGGGAATATTTTAGAAAGGATGAGTAAGGGACCGGTGGAAGAGAGGAGAAAAGAGAAAGAGGAAAGGGATAGCAACATTTTTTTTTTTAAACTTCATCTGTCTGCCAGAGAACACTAAACAGGGTTTTCCAAAGCTGCTGCCAAGTTAAAAAGAAATGGGCCAGAGTAGACATAGTAATTTTCATGACAGCCATTTGCTGCTGATCAACACAACTCTGTTTCTCTTCAGTATGAAATATTCTATTGAGTGAAGCAGCAGTGATTAACAGACAGATGGGACCAGCGTGCTCAAACCAGGACTCCCTCGGAGCCATGCTGTTTGCTAACTTTTCCACGAGATTTGAGATATCAAACACTTCCATCTTTATCTGCCAGCCCGCAGCAAGTCCTGCTCTAGTTCACTTCTGGCTGAAGCCATCCTTACTTACAAAATATTCTCAAATAGGACACAAGCTGCCCAATGATTCTCTGCAGACAGGCAACTAAAGATTCAAACATCTTGAACAGTGTGATAAATAAAAAGCAAAAGAAAAAGCTGCTTATGACAAGACAAAATAGGACTTGAGCCAAACTACTACAGGTGTTGTTTAAGACAAATATATTGTGGGTTTTTTTTTTAATAATTCAGGGTGACATGATAGGAAATGGTACATAAGTAAATAGTAGAATTACCACCAAAGTCTGAATAAGTACCATTTTTTTTCCTGCTCAAGACAATTAAACTTATTTGAAAAATCCTACTCATATTATTAAAAAGCAGGCACCAAAGTACCTTAAAATGTGAACTGACAGTAAGAAAAATAACTATGCAAGAAAAATAACTAGTCATTTATTCCAGTATTTCACACAAATAACCAAATATAGGCAAGTCTATGTTTAAAAGTCCTGTCTGGGCAAGTGACCAAACACTAAGTGCTAGTCAGAACTCTTTCAAGTTGACCTGCATGCTCTTTTCTTTTATTTCCAGCTCTTTTTCTTGTTTTGACTAGAACCAGAAAACAGAAAGGCCCAGAAAAAATAAGTGAAAAAATTGAACAACGTTTTTTAAACTTGAGAGAAAGTTCCATTTTATTGAAGTCCAATTCCTATTTTACTCAATCTGTTTCTCCCTGTTGCTAGTGATAAAGAGATAGAGGTGAAATAAGCACTGAACAAATGTTGAATAATAATTATTTTCCATATTCCTACATATAACTTTTATCACCAAGTAGTAACTCATAACTGTTAAGCAAGGAAATTAAATGGTGTGATCTAGGACAAATCTTCTTCTAAGAACAGAGCCTTATTCTCAGATTTCCAGGGCTTGCACATTGTTTAAATTTGTATAATTAGTATTAGCATTCTTTACATGACCCGTCTGTGATCCATTGTTTCAGTTCTCTGGTCTTCCACACTATTTACAGACGTAGCTTTAGGCAGGCAGATGCTATGCAGCTCAAGCCATACATTTTTAATTTACTGATGGCAGCATTTCTTTAGGTGACATGCAGTAGACTTTTTTTTCTCTTTTACATTAATTAGTTTCTGTTTGCAAGGTACTTTGGAGTAGTAACAGTGACCTTCCAATCTGCCTGTTTTCTGATCTCATGTTGTCTGTTAGTAGGCACAGAAAATTGGTAGGAATGATAAATTGTGAATCTACCATTTTTATTTTCACACTTTGTTTGACTTCCTAATTTTCCAGATGTTTTAAAATGCCTATATCTTTCTCATGTCAAAGGCACATTGCATAAACTATTATGCTGCTGTTCTGTGAGCAGAGTCTTCAGAAAACTGTCTCCACGTAAACAGCTGCAAACAGCCAAAGTAGAAATTCAGCTCTTTTCCTTTCCTTTGTCTTTCATGTAACACAACCATAAGCTCTCACTGGGATAATTTGAAAGCTATGCCCCCTTAGTTTTGCATAGATCAGACATGCTACTGGAGCCAAAATGAGTCTAATATGCAATGAAAGTTCAGGCCAAAATTTAGACCTAAATTAAAAGACCTCCAAATGGTCACATGATTCATGCAACAACACAATGTACATTTTTGTAGACATCACAACTGTATTCAGGCCTGTCACAACACAAGCCATATCTGCTAGAAATAACATTCTTCTTGCAGTAGCGGGAAGTTTCAGTTTGACCACTGATATGCCACCATGCTTCATAGCTGCCATGTTTTCTCTGGACTGGGTGTGAATTTTAGTGCAAATTATTTACACATAGTCAAAATCCTCATTACTTTAGTAAATACTTTGTATCTGATGATTTTTAAAGGAATTCAACTTACATCAAGCAGTGCAGGAGGCGAGACAGAAAACTACGTTGAGCGGATACTGGGAGTAAATGGGTAAGATAGATACAAGAGGTTAATGGTGGGGGAAGCAAAGGTCCTTCTCTTCTCCGAGATGATAAAGGTAACTGAAGTGTCGTTGGAGAAACCTCTCTCAGCAAAGTTGATAGGATGAAATTATGTAACATCCTTGTCAAGTTATTCTGCAGAGGTATTTGAAAAGGTGAAGCTAACCAAGAGCCAGAAGAACTAGCGGAAACCAAGATCATGGCAAATGAGACTGGCTGGGTTGTAGATACCGAGATAAAGTACCTAGTTCGCAGAAAATCTCAGGTGGTAGCCATGCAAGGTCTATGACTGTGAATATACAGGATAGGCTGGAGAGGAATAAAATACTCTACTGATACTATAGAGGGAATTCAGGAGATAAATCAAATACTTGTGGAGAAAAACTGAGTTTATCCATGGGATGCTGGAGAAAGCTTTCTGCTGTCTGGGTTCACAGAGACATCTTGGAGGGAAATGGAAGATCTGTGATTGTCAGTGTTTGGAATGTTGTTTGGGAGCCTGAAAAGCTGGTGTGATGGCTGTGGAGATGCTCTGCAATGATTTTAAGTACCCTATATTTTCAGTGTTTGTTAAGATGATTAAGTAAATGTCTTCTCTTGGATTCACAGAATTCCTCAATAAACTTACCAGAGAGGCAAGCGATGCTTTGAATTCATCACATTTCAGGCATAAACTGCAACCAATGCAAAGCTTTGAAGAAAGCTTTGAAGATTTTGGCTCAGTCTCTTCCTGGCTTAGCTTGTGGCACTATTTTGCACCAGAAAGACAGAGTTCATCTGAAATGGTGGCATGATACGTGCTCCATGACAATGCATGATGAACTTCATGTGAAAGGATAAGATATGTGTGACACTTTCAGTGAGTAAGACATGTCCAGAAACCTGGAAAATGCATTCACCACAAATGCTCCTAGGTTTGATTTGGGGAGGTCTATCTGCTTAGTGGTGTGAGTCCTCTGGTGGGCTTCTGTCCCATTTTGGTTGATTCATTATATGCTCAGCCCTACTGAAACGTAATAAGGAGGCACCGGCTTCTTCTGAGCCGGCGCAATGGAAATCTCTAGCTCCCAGCCATTCTTGCAGCCTGCCTGCAGCACAGGCTTGTAAGTTTAACTTTACGTAAATCTTATGAAAAGGGCTGCACTTCAATCAGTCCCTCAATAGCTGTCAGAAATGTCAAGTGTGGCAGTGAAGTACTCTGTCTTGAGAGAATAAAGCAGAAAGTGAGAGACAGGAGAAGAAAGGCTTCCTCATGCTGACAGTGTTGGAGGAAGTACAAATCTCTCCTGGAGGCCTGGGGAAAACTGGGTGTTAAGTCCTGAGAGATGACTTTGACCTGGAAGAGAGATGAAGAGCAATCAGGCTTTCTGGAGGGGAAGGGAAGCTTAGTCTGCAATCTGGTGAGTTCTCTGAAGTAAAGAGAAAGAAAAAAGCCCAAGGGAAACATGAGTTTTCAATTATAGCTTGAATTCAGAAGGTTTGGCAAAGCCAGATGAATGGGAGGACATAGGTTGTTATTTACACTGTACTGCAACAACACCTGTTGGTGACCAACAGTAAGAATAATCTTTTTGATCATTCTTTTGATTACGACTTAAAAATACCTATATTTTAACCAATTATTTTCTTCCTAACTTTGTTTTAGCCAGAATAACAATTCTAGCATAATTTTCCACCAGAACTTCAGTCCTGACCACAAGGGAATTTGAAGTTTTGCAAAAATTTTGCAGTTTTTACCATTGAATTTTCCTGAACTTAGCTCCTCATCTGTATCTGACTGGCACAGCCTACTTCTTAAGAATTGGTATTAAAATTTAATAAGCATTTCTAATTAGCATTTGTTTTATGCAGACAAAGACCCAAGAAGCAAATCAGACAGCTTATATCTCCTGTAACGCAATTTTGCAGAAGTATAGGTTTCAATTTCCTGATCCAGCGATTACATCAAACAAAGAAAAATTGTTTATATCACTACTCAGATTGTTCAGCTGAAAGCCATTTATCGAACATAGCATATGATCAAACATTAGTAAAACTAGCTTATAACTCTCCTACTAACACTGCACCTGTAGAAAACAATTGTTTCCCTGGTTGGATGCCAGGTTACAGCACACTACAATCAGTCTTTCAACACAGAGTAGGCACAGAGGTGAAATATGGAATAATCCATTGCCAAAGAAAAATCATTGTTAAGACAGGTGCTAGCTGAAGTTTGCGTGATGTGTTCTGTATAGATTAAGGTAAGCATTAAGCATGTTCATATTAAATATACTGTAAAACAGCAATGAAAAGTGAAAACTACTTATCAGAAACAGCAGCATTTCCCCACTGAAAAACTGAGTTTGTTTTGCTGGAAAGAAAAAGTCTTATAGGTAGTGTTGTTCATTGTCTCAAAAGAGCCATTTTGCAAATACTGTGTTTATAAGTAAAGTAACCCCAGCACCTTTCCTCTTGTATAGGAAGTCTTGTTAGTCTGAAAAGAATTGATAAGGGAAGAGGGGGGTAATAGATGAACAGGCTGTTTGATGAGCAGCACCTGAGCAATTTTTAACTTTCTTTACTCTCCCCTTTCCTGATCAGTTCATTTCAGAGCTGACATTAGCCTTATCGAACTAACAGATGAAAGAACAAGACTGGATTGTGCCGTGGCCCTGCCACTGAAGGCTAAGAAGCAATCAAGCTCTCCTTGAAGACAAAGATCAGTATCAGAACAAGCAAGTGTACTTTCCATGTGGTTTGGGGCCACTTTGCTCACCCAAGAAGCAAACACTGTATTTGGTAGAATGCATACACTGAGAAACTCTCGTGGAACTTTATCCAGGTGAATCTTCACTGATGTGCGCTCAAGAAATCATCTATGATATGAAAGAAAATCACTCTATGAAATTTACTTCCAGTCAACCTTCTTAGTGACAAATATTTTCCCTTTACATAGTGTATTCTAGGAAATATTGCAGTTTCATTCACTTTATATAGTGAATGTCTTATGAATGGCTGAATCTTGGATTTTGACTGGCTAAAAAACTCCAAATGTATCTGTATCATTAGTCGAACTGATTGATGTAAAATAATCATCCTAGAATAATGCTTTCTGTGGCTTATAATGATTGATGTGCTCAAAGAAACTAAAACAATGGGACAACACCCAAATCCTGATGTTAAGTGCTACTTAATCCAGAAAACATTTGGCTCCGGAGACACATTTTGTAGGTGAGATCATAATAAGGCTGAAGGATAGTACATCAGGTTTCAGCTATCTATTTCAACTATTTCAACTATCCATTTTGCAAATGAAGGGGAAAGTTATCAAGTGGCTTTCTGAAACTTGGTTAAGCTAAGGCTCCTGGCTGCTGCCTTAAAATTGCACTGGGAGTTTCCTGCTGTAAATGGCAAAGAACTGAACCTGTCTGCCCTAAAAATAATTGCATATTAGTTTTGCATGGTGATTGTGCTGGCTGATGAAAATTTTCTGAAATCAGTTTCTCTGGCTAGTGCTGTTAAGAAAATTGGACTGTCCTGAATTTTGTGTCGGATTTTTCTGATATGGGTGGAGTCATAAAGATTTTCTTTGTACTGGTGGTGGAAGTTTCAAAGTTATCAGCAGCCCAAAGTCTATACAGGCCAACTGTAAAAAGATTACCTGTGGGACCATTTGTCTGGCTCTAATATTTTATTGCTATTTGCCCTGTGCTTCCTAACATTGTATTTTTCTTGGTGTCTTTATAAGGCTGATGAGAGGGGAGGAGGATGCTAGCAAATTGAATCACAGACATCTCTGCAACAATGAAGGGTTTTTAAATAATGGAAAACAATGAAGTAAAGTCACTTAAGTAAGAGATAACCTCAATTTGGTTCTTAGAACCATCACTAGATTATCTGATAAAGATTTTTAAACTGCATTTTAAAGACAGTGTAACAGCGTTTTGTCAATTAACACTGTAATTATATTTTACTTATAAGCAACATTTTAAGCAGTTACATTAATAGATACATAAACAGTATTTGATGGGGAGTGTATCATGTAAAGGTTTCTCACAACACACCAGTTTGAAGGCTTTGCATGGAAATTGAAAAAGAGAAGCCGCATTTTGGCAATTTCTCGATATCTGTTGTTTCAAAGACAATATTTTGGCCATTATTACACCTTACTGTAATAATTTCTTCTATTACTCTCCGCGAATAGATGCAATTTGCTGCTCCAAAAAAAGAGGTATGAGAAAGTATACTTTGCTGAGATGTGGTTTGATCCTCTCAATGCTTACATTTTATCAGCTATAAAATACCTTACTGTGCTGACTATGTAGCATAAGATACTTCTGGGATCAAAAATACCCTACCATTTCTTTTAAGTCACTATATTTGTTTTGGAAAGAAAAAGAAAGATGACATCTGCTAATTTGATGAGGACTATAAGGTGCAGAAGACATAAACACTCAACTAGTGTAAACAACTCAGCTGTTACCTGTCTTAACTTACGTCCTATATGCCAGACTACCTAAAAGTAGCTTCAGCAATGTTACAGGACAGTCTAGGTACAACTTGTCTGGCTTCAGGTCTCTTTGCTGAGTACAGCAATAGTTCAAAGAACTGCATGATATGAAAGGAGATTTTTGGACACTCCTTTTTCAAATAACTTCTAAAGCCTCACATAAACTGCTGAGGACAAAACTATTTTCAGTAGCTCTTGCTTCTTCCCCTCAGTCTTTGTGGGCAGTGTCCTTGTGCAACAAAGTAATGCTTCTCCTTTCTTACAAGCATATGTAACTTTGCCAAGTGTCTTCCCAGAGACTCTCTCTCCTTTTCTCAGGGAAGAATTTCTTGGAGATGTTGAACTGGAAGTATCAAGAGAGAGAAATAAGGAGCGAGCAAGCAAAAGAGAGAATCAAGCGTTATATCACGGTATTCTTTCTTCCTGGGAGAATTGCAGGCTAGGTTAGAATTACTCACAGGATTATCTTTTGCTTCTGATTTTCAAAGGTTTCATTTATT